TAGGACCGCGAATTAATCGGAAGAAGACTTAGTTCATGAAAAACGATTTTTGCGAGGATTAGGAAATAGGATTAAAAAGCCCTCCAATCGCGGAGACGTTTTCATACATCTCGGACGTTCGACATGGAGAAGGATTTGAAAGAAGAGCTAAACAGGAGGCGAAGAGCAGCTTGAGCCGCCTTCCGGCCCATAAAGAAAGCTACAGACCAGCTGATGGACCCAAAGCTCAGAGCCTCCGAACACTGTAAAGCGCTGGAACAATGTTTTCTGAAGTAAAGCCGACGTACTCAGCAGCTCGTCGGACTTTGCAGCTTAGACATAAGATTAATATCTCGTTTTCGCGGGGCGGAATAGGCTCCAAGGCGAAACATCGACGGGCTGGTCATGTAATGAGAAGGACAGACGACAGATGGACACTAAGAACTCTGGAATAGATTCCTCGCGAAACAAAACGTTCCTGAGGGAGGCCACCGACCAGATGGGCTGACATGTTCGTTGCACGGATGGACCACCTGAGTTGTCAGTTTGTAACGAGTAATGGATCTGGATTTCGCGAACGTCGCCGTGGTAATTCAATACTAACATCGCAGGTGACGCTAGGAGAGACGGAAACGGATGGAAACAATGCTGGGTGCATGACGCAAACCATCTGAGCATCGTAATGCATAAGTGCTGACCAAAACGTATGTTTTGGAACATCGACACCTTGGTTAGAAAACACCAATTAGTTATGAAGCAAACATCGAACCGTTTTCTAACTAAATCTTTTATTAGGTAATTCTCTATTTCATATATGATAAAATAACCCACCCCCGTGACGATAGGAGATATAACGTTTGCGAGTTGATCCAAGGAAGTTAACATAGCATTCAAACCTTTGAAAAACTCGAGTGTAAATACTACAAGCAAGAATTCAATTAACCAACCAGAAAGAGTGTCGCCATCGGTGATCACAACTACCCAATCTCTGGATAACAGGGTTTTCTCCGCGTTGAGAAACAAGCGATTAACGGCGCACATCAGAATGCCCAATCCCATAAATATTGTGAACATAACTGAGTCTATCTGTACAGACAAACATACTGAAAACTTTTCCAGTTAGCTTTTGTTTCGAAAATCAGCGCAATTTTGCGAGTTCAAATAAATTTTACTGCATAAACGTACCTATAAACATGACTGCCCCGAGTAAAATTGTGATGTTATTAACGGGAATAACCGACAAGATCGCTAAAAATATTTATTATTACATTTTACACCAACAACTGTAAGGAAACTTATGTGTTTGCTCTGTGCAAAGGTCAAAAATATAAAAGAAAATAAAAAATAAAATAGAACAAACTGATGCAATTGCTGGAAAGAGACATAAAATGAAAGAAGCTTACCAATCTTTCTGCTGATTCGATCAAATACGCTTCCCAGATGACCGCTAAAAATCATTTGCCCGATACTTTCTGCAAATTGTTCAATCGACACCAATCTCATACCCCCGAGATGTTGCATACAAAGAGATATGCAGAATGACCATGCACGATCTTCCTAAAGGTAAAAGTTGTCTAATATGGGATTTTAGAGCTAAGTTATACACAATTAAGCCAAAAATTCCCTTTTTACAAGAATGTGTATTTCTTACCAGTTTGTCACTGAATATAAGGAAAAAAACAAATTGCAATGAATATCGTCAGACCTCTGATATTTTTGCTATATAAATACTACCTTCAAAAAACGCTAAAATGATAAAGGTTTATCTGATCGTCACGGTGTGATTCCGACGTAAGACTACGGTAGATGAGCGAAAGGGTTGACATTCGTTTACAAAGGAGTGATACAGCAGAGAAGCATTAAGCATTGAGCTAAGACGAAATTTGCATATGACGGCATACATTTGTCATAATGTTAACTGATTAAGCAAACTTACATGGGAATAAATTGTTTGTGGGGAAACCTAGGTCAAATGCCTCGCTCAACTTCAAAATGTAAAAAGCTTCTCAAACATCTTTTAGGAATTGTTCAGCAGTTTTTTTAATAGTGGCTTCTACTTTGTTAGAATTTATGCTTTTGTGTGTCATCCTAACAAAAATCTGTTAAACATTAAGATCGCAACATTGAAAAGAATGCTTCTTTTTTAAGTTACACATGGTGAGAAATAGATACGGGAACCTACCAGACATGTTGATATATATGCAGCGTAGAGAAGTAAATTCGATTTTGATCCCACTGCCAAACAATGCATTCGCAATAGCACTGCTTTCTATATACACGGCTACGGATCCTGAATATCTTAATGCTTGAGGAAACATTGATTTTTGCTAGAATTAAAAAACATAAACTCTAAAGTTGTCTGAACAATGCTAATATCGGCAAGAGAAGGCTCCACTTTCAATGACAGGGATGATACTGTGAACGATATACAAAATTTTATGCACAATGCACAATGAAAAATATTGCAGATGCTGTGCGTCGTAAAAGCGATTTTTAAACTACGCTATTTTGTAAATTTCAGAAAAAAAGTGAACTTCATACTATTATGATGGGAGAAATCAGACCGAAGGCTTATCGAAGGCTTTGTCAGAGCTAGCGTTAACTCTACGAGTTAGCCGAATTTTGAACTCTTCTCCCGCCAAGCAATTATCGTAAAATTTACCACTAGATCATTGATAAGGAGTATGCAAATCCATTAGAGCAGACTTCTCAATTAAATTTTCGATCTCTATAATTTTAGAAGCCCCTATTAGTCATAAAATTTGAAAAATGTAATCATCGTTTATATCAAAATGCATTTAAAGTCGTTCTCTCTATGACGGCATGATGCATGAATTATTTTTTTTATTCTGATCTCGTTCTCTGTTTGTGATATTGAGAAATGAAATATTTTGCTATATTATAAAGTAATGATGTGTTGACCGGAATCAGCAATAGTATTTTTCA